GAATGGATAACAGATTGTACTCAGCAATAAAAAGGAACAAACTCCTCATGCATACGTGTGAATGGTCTCAAAATAATGCCTGACCCAGCTATTCTAGAGCACTTGCATATCCTATGCAAGGTCCTGGATTCATTCCCCTGAACTGCAACAGACAGGGCTGAGTGAAAGGAGGCAGATAAAATAGCATTTATTTATTTTTTTAATTTTTATTTTTTAAACATATTTTTAGTTGTAATTGGACACAATATCTTTATTTTATTTATTTATTTGTATGTGGTGCTGAGGATCAAACCCAGCGCCTCATACGTGCTAGGTGAGTATTCTACCACTGAGCCACAACCCCAGCCCCAAGAGCATCTAATGTGCAATTCAAGAAGTTACTAAGTAATCTGTAGTGACTGAGCCCAGACTGGTGATTTTCTGTGGACAAGGATGGATTGGAGAAGGAGTGAGGAGGGAAGGATTACAGGAAGCTTGGGGTAATGGAAATGATATTTGTTTTGATTGTGTTTTAATGAGGTGAACATTCATGAACACCTTTTAAATTGCGTACTTTAGGTATCTTCAGCTTTTAGAACTTGTTTTACTTCAACACAGTCATCAGTTTTTTAAATTTTTTGTTTGTAAATGGACACAGTATCTTTATTTTATTCATTTATTTTTATGTGGTGCTGAGAATTGAAACCAGTGCCTCACACATGCTAGGCAAGTGCTTTACCACAGAATCACAACTACAGCCCTCATCAGTATTTTTTAAAGGAATCAGTGGACTTCATATTTGTGCCTCACATTTAGCCAGTTAGGAAAGTAATCAGGCAGGAGGTCAATAATAGTTGGTGAACTTGAATTTGAGTCAGATATCAGGTGTGTGTGTGTGTGTGTGTGTGTGTGTGTTTTGTGGTAACCCTTCTACTTGCTTTATCTAAAAAGGGCATGTTTTACTCTAGCTTTACACTAGAGAATGTAGTTTTTTTTTTTTTTTTTGTCTGTTTGTCTGTTTGTTTTAGTACAAGAGATTGAAGCTAGGGGTACTCTTCCACTGAACCACATTCCAAGTCCTTTTTACTTTTTTGGGGAGGGGATGAGTTCTGGGGATCGAACTGAGGGGCACTCGACCACTGAACCACACCCCCAGTCCTATTTTGTATTTTATTTAGAGACAGGGTCTCACTGAGTTGCTTAGTGCCTGCTTTTGCTGAGGCTGGCTTTGAACTTGGCGATCCTCCTGGGATTATATAGGTGTGCACCACTGCGCCCAGCTCTTTTTTACTTTTTGAGACATAGCCTCTCTCTAAGGTTGTTGTGACTGGCTTCAAAATTGGGATCCTCCTGCCTCAATCTCCCAAATTGGTGGGATTACAGGAGTCCACAACCATACCCTGTGTGTTCTCTTTTGTTTTGAGATGGGATCGTGCTATGCTCCTCCAAGCTTTTCTCCAACCCTTGGGCTCAAGAGATTTTGTCTCATCCTCCTAAGTAGCTAGAAACCACAGACATGCTGCCATGCAGACAGACTCTTCCTCTATGGGTCATCTCATCTAGTTGATGCCAAATTATATGTCCAGTTGCACCTGATTGCTGGAGTATCTTACTCATGCAGAACAAAAACTTCACATTGGATGTTTCTACACATCATGTACACAGCATCCAAAGCAGGCTTCTGATTTTTGCCACTGGTCTAGCCTGCCCTCCTGTCTCTGGCATGTTTATTGTTGGCCCTGATTGTTGACCAGGGGTTTAAGCCCATTCCTATGGACTCTTGGAAAGAGTCCCACCTTCAGCATCCTTGAGTCTGAATGCTTTCCTCCATGGCTTCCACTGAGCCTAAACCACCTTTTCTTCTCTCTGCAGCTGTAACTGTCTACATCAGTGTTCTTACATCATTGTCTCTACCCGAGTTTATTTTTCACATAGCAAAATTTGTTTTTAAGATGGGAATTGTGTCATTCCATCCATGCCCTTGTTGGAACCATAATAAGCCTGAGTGACCTACCCCTTCCTGTCCTTCTGCCTTGCTGTACTGGGTTGCTCTGGAAGCTCCACCCCCATGGCATTGCTTTCTTTGAACTTGCTCATTTGCACATACTGTCACCTTTGCCTGATCATCTTTCAGATCCTGCGTTTCCTTTTCTTCTTAAGTCTTTCCTCTGCTCCTATTAAAACATCATAGATATATAGTGGCATGTATTTGTAATCTCAGCTCCTTGGTAGCTGAGGTAGGAGGATCCTTGAGTCTACTAATTCAAGCCAGTCTAAGCAGCACAGTAAGACTGTCTCAAAAACAACCAAACCAAAACCAACCAACCAATAAAAACAATCAAAATAATGCCACCTTCTTAGTCCCACTCTATACCCATACCTGCTTTTTTTTTTTTTAATGCAAGGTACCATGTGACTTTGAGTTCACTTGTTTAGTGTCCTTTTAGAACAGAAGCAGATGCTCTATGTTTTTTGCATTGTAGAAGACCCAGTATAGAGTAGATAACCAGTACTTTCCCACAGGTCGGCCCAGATGCTGGAAGTTGTCCTTGACCTTTCGCCCCATCTCCTGCCTAGCCTCTGCCTCCCCAGCCCCAGCAGTCTTACCATCTCTCTGTTCCTGGCAGCTCTGTTCCAAACTGCTGCCCTCCGTCTCCTCATTGCCTTCCCTGTTCCTTGTGTCTCCTCCCATGTACACTTGGAGTTGGTCCTCGGCTCCCTGTCTCACCCACCCTGGACACCTGGCCTGCTGGCCTCAGTGCTTGCTGCCACAGTGCTCTTCCCCAGGTGTCTGATGGCTTCAAGGATCTCCTTAAGTTACTTCCTCAAGGAGGCCCTTGCTGCCACCCTAGTGAAAGCATTCTGTACCCAGTACTAGGCGCTTTTTCCTGGTTTGTGTGTTTTCCTCATCATTTGCCCCTATCTACTATTGTTCATTTTTACTAATTTATCTTATTTGTTACTTTGTCTTTTGAAGAGCATATTAGCTCCTCAAGGGCAAAGATCTTTGTTTATTCACCTCTGTCCCAGTGCCTGGGCAGTCATGATCTCCCAGCAAGTATCAGGACAGACAACAGGGTGCAAAATCTGAAATCCAAAATGCTCGAAAATATGAGACTTTTCAAGTGCGGATGTGACAACTAGTAGGGTTTTCAACATGTAACTTCATGTGATGAGTGACAGTCAAAACTTAGGTGCACTTGAAAATGTTATATGAAATTAGTTTCAGTCTATGTATAAGATGTATATGAAACAAATTTTTCATGAACATAAATTTTGGGGTTCATTCCCAAGATATCTTACATATATGTAACTATTTTAACCCTGAAAATAACTGAACACACATGTGGATCCAAGCCTTTTGGATTAGGGACACTCTGCCTATAATGAGTGATGAACATGTGAGCCCAGAATCTGATATTTCAGGGCCATGATGGCTGTTAATTATAGTGTCAATCTGGGACTTTGGTAACCATAAAGCTCAGCAGGGCCCATCAGGTCTGATGGTTGTGGCTATTCTGCTGGGGGCGAAGGTTGTTTTCCAGGATTAGGGAAGAGAGGTAGCTTTACAAAGGGTTAAATCAGTGAGAGTTTTGAAATCCTCATAATTTATATAATTCTCATATCTGTCAGTACAGAAAAAGACATCTGCTTTCCTATATTCTGTGTGGTTGGGGTCTGAAGCCTGCAAGGACATGATTGGCAGCCATTGTTCAGTTCTTTCCCAGCAATCTCCACACACTAAATTGTTCACTGAGCCAGATTTGGTTAAACCACAGAACTTTGTTGGTGTGATAGGGCACATAGTTTCAATCACTCTTTTATAAAAGCATGTAAGAATGTAACGAGTCGTTTGTACTGAGAGGTGCTGTCATTCCTTCCTTCCTTCCTTCATTTGTTTTGCTTCTGGGGCCAGTTATGCCAGTGCACACTCTTGGTCCAATTGAACATTGGTGACAGAGAGCCACAAGAGTAGGACTTGGCTGGGTACTGTAAGAGTCTCTGGAGCCTTTGTGAGAAACCACAGTAGTAGCTTTGCTGTGGGTCTTGATTCTCCTTCACACCTGATGCACTCCTGCAGGGGCCCTCCAGAAGGCAGGGCAAACCAAGGGGGCATTGGTGCTGAGTAACCCTGTGGTGTGCTGTGGTTTTGAGCACAGACAGGTAGTGCTGGCTCCTATAAGTTGCTGCCTGGCCCTGCCCACCCACTGCCCGGTGCCTCTGTCTCCAGTACCTGCAGGTGTTCATCATCAGGTGCAGAGCAGGGCCATCTTGGGGTTCTCTGATTTGGGTTAAAATCCTGCCTGCTATCCCCACCTATTAGCCTTAAGCCCATTTCCAAACTCCCGAGCCTTGTCTTTTTCTCTGCTCTGTGTGTATGTGTGTTTCTAAAAACTTAGTTTTACTTTTCTGAGAGGATGATGAGAACCTTTTGAAAAGGATGTAGGGTAATCTTGCCTCTGCCTTAGGCCTCTATCTCTACCTTCATCGGCAGTTTAGGACTTGTTTGAAAAAAGCAGCCATTGAAATTGGGAAACTGGAGTTGGATTCAGCATTATTATTACAAGGCCTGGAAGGGAGATGAGGTCTTGGAGGCCTGGATGCCCTCAGGTTCCCTGTTGTTTGTCTGAGAAGGTCAGTGTGAAGCCCTTGGTGCCGATGCCTTGGGGCAGTGGCTTCAAGCCTTGTTGATGAAGTGCCATTCTGGTGCTTTCTCATGGTCTGACCATGGTACTGACAGTTTCTCTTGAGGGGAAGTAACGAAGAAGTCTAGGCAAAGAATTTTCTAATTCCTAATAAAATTTTTCTTATGTTGTTACTTCTTTATTTCAAGTTTTATTAGTTTCTAAAATATGAGGTTCAGTTTTATTTTACAAATTTTCTATTCTTTTTCTTAACATAATGTGCACTTATTTTAGAAAATGTATATATCTATACATATATTTACATATATGTATATATAAAACAACCTTGGCTTTGTGAATCAGGTTTTGAAAATAGAATTTTTTTTTCTGTTCCAGACTCCTTTTAGTTTTGGCATGAATCATAGGACACCACCCTACCCCGCTGGGGATTATTGTCTTCTGTGCAGAAGTGAACGGAAAGACCCTTCATTCTTAGAGAGTGGAGTTAAGACTTCGAGCAAATTGGCCCTTTCCATGGCACCCAAGGGCAACAGCGTGCTGCACCTGCCGCTGTGGGTGTGCCCGGACTGCCGGAGAACTGTGGAGAAGGAGGAGAGGCACGGCGGCCTTGACCAGCCGGTGAGTGGCTGCCAGCGCAAGCAGGCTCATCGCCCTCTCTGTGGGATGTGGGGTTAACTGGCAGCAAGAGGAAAGAAGCTGCACCTGCTTTTAGGGTACTCCCTTCTGCACTATCTTCTGGCCTAAATTCCACCCTCCTGACCTTCATGGCCACAGGTGCAGGAGGTGGTGGGCATCTGCTCTCTTTATCGGGACAGTCAACAAGCTTGTGGTCCCTGGCTGATTTTGACTTTCTTAGTTCAAGCTTAGGATTTCTTTCATGGTGCAGTTCCCTACAAAGCTGGTAGGGCTTTTGTGTGTTTAGTTCTAGACAATTCCATGGGCTGCTAACTCACCTGAAATTGTTCCTAGCATTTGATTCTTAAGCCTGGCCTTCCCCCTTTGCTTTATCCTATGCCACAGGTTATGGAGGCTATCTTGAGGCTGTTGAGGTAGGGTGGGGCCCTTCTTCTCATCTTGGACCTAGATGGAGTCTTAGTGGGCTCTTGTTCTAAAAATGCTTTGAGATCTATTGTTTAGGTTCCAGGAGTTGGCTTTTGTAACCATTTAAGGCCCCACATCTATTCCCAATTTCTGCTTGCAAGCGACTAATTATTTTCTGAGCTCTATCTTTTCTGATCTATATGTGGCCAGTAAAAGGCAACAATCAAGCTGTGGCTGTGGCTCAGTGGTAGAGTGCTTACCTAGCATGTGTGAGGCACTGGGTTTGACCCTCAGCACCACATAAAAATAAATAAATGGAATAAAAAGGTATTGTGTCCATCTACAACTAAAAATATTAATTAAAAAAAAAAAAAGCAACAATCACTGCCTTCTGTTTTCTAAGGTGGGACTACTTTCCAATTAGTCCCAGTGACAGTCAAGGAGCATTTGGCTGCAGTGCTGGTGGCTCCTCATACCCTGAGCTTCACCTGCTTCTTTGCTGCTGCTACCCAGCTGTTCAGCCAGGGATTCCTTGAGGGCAGTATTCTGTAGGCTTTAAGTCGATAAACCTTGGGCCTCATTGTTTACTAAACTAAAGGTAGCTTTCCCACTCAGCCCCCTCTTAAAAGCCCATTTCCTGCATTATTTCCCTTAATTGTCTCTTCTTTCTTCTTTACTGGAATTTAATTGAAGGCAGCCAGCCACCCCCCCCCTTTTTTTTTGCCAAGAGCAGTGCCTAGTCTGATACATATTAGGTACTTCAGAATATTTGAATTAATGAGTAAGCAAATGATGAACAAAGGAGTGAATGGCACTGACCCTCATTAGAGATTAAAACTAGAGCCCAGGTTTAACTCTGGGTAATGCCCCTCTCAAAAAGAGAGAGTTTATAGTAAATCGGAAGTTTTTTCCCCCTTAGACATTTTGCTTTTATTGTTTTAAAAACTTATTGGTTTGTTTTATTTTGTTGCTGGGAATTGAACCTGGTGTGCTTTACCTCTGAGCCACATCCCTAGCCCTCTTTTTTTTTTTAAAATTTTTGAGACAGGGTCTTGCTAAGTTCCTGAGGCTGACTTTGAACTTGTGATCCTCCTGCCTCAGCCTCCCGAGTACTGGGATTGTAGGTATGCGCCACCACACACAAAAAATGACACATTCTATTGTCATTTTTCATGTGATAATTTTCTGTGTCCACTTAAAAGTATTTGGTTGGTATTTCCCTCATTATTTAAATGGAAGACTGTTTAGTTTACAGATGTCAGTTTGTTTCCTATTCTCTTCCAGTCCATGTTCTAAGTCCTTTCATTGGCTAAACCTATTTATTTATTGTTTTTTTTTTTGTTTGTTTTTGTTTTTAATGTGTCCTGAACATTGTCATCTTTTCTTCCTGTTCCAGCCCTGCTCTGGTATTCAGCCTGTCTGTGCCCTTGGGGATACTGCTGCTGTCCCCAGTACACAGGCCTGTGGCATTGCCTCTGTTTCACATCATCAGTGGTGCTTTGGAGCCTCTTGTGCCCTGGCTGGCAGTTGTCCTGATGACGATCATCTGTCCAGCGAGGCTTTCTCCCCCCCACTCAAAATAGCAACCACAACCTCTACGGAGCTGCAGTGCTGGCATATGTGTGCCCATGGACTACCCATTGCCTTTGTAGATAGACTTCTTTGTGGACACTGGTTTTAGATCACTGATATTTTTAAATTATGATGATTTACATACAGTAAAAATTCACTTTTTTTAATATTTTATTTTTTAGTTATAGATGGACACGATATCTTTATTTTTTATGTACTGAGGATCAAACCCAGGGCCTCTAGGCGAGCGCTGTACCGCTGACCCACAACTTCAGCCCTCACCCTTTTTTCCTTAAAAATAAAAATAAAACCACAAAAATTTCTCATTATCAGGGTTAAGATACAGAAAGAACATTTGCATCGCCTTGTAAAGATCCCTTGTTCCCCTTGGTAGTCAGTATTTGGCCTCTACTCTGGTCCCTTGTAATCATAGACCTGATTTCCCCCCACAGTTCTGCTTTTTCTAGAGTGCTCCATAAACTCTGTCATTTGGCACAACATTCTGGAGGGTCATCCATGTTGTTGGATGTGTCAGTAATTTGTTTCTTTTTATTGTTGAAAGCATTGTGTAGATAACACCAGTTTACCCATTCCCCAATTAATTGATGGATCTTTGGGTGGTTTGCAGATTTGGGCTGTTTTGTAAAAAGCTGTGAAGGACATTTTTATACAGGCCTTTCTGTGGACATCCTATTGGCTTGTTGCTGCATTGGTTTGCTAGAATTTTACTAAGGACTTTGCTTATGTGCCCATGAAAAATGTCTGCCTGTACTCTAGTCTTGCAATGTTCAGGAAAGAAGTTAAAATGTGTCCCTGTGGGCTGGGGTTTTGGTTCAGTAATAGAGGGCTTGCCTAACATGATGAAGCACTGGGTTTGACCCTTAGTACCATATAAAAGTAAATAAACCAAATAAAGGCATTGTATCCATCCACAACTAAAAAAAAAAAACATAAAAATAAGAAGTGTGTGCCCGTTTTTTCTCCCTTTTGGGGGGAGATCTGTGCAGAATTGATACCACATTTCCTTAAGCATTCTTGCGCTCTGCTTATTTCTTTCTGTTAGGTCAACTGTAGACAGTAGAGAGCCCCAGCCTGAGGGAGCTACTGGCTGTGCATCTGTGAGGCTGAGTGAGCCCTTTGGCTGGATTGTCTACAATGGTGTGTGCTGCACCCTTGTATCTCTGTGGACCTGGGGTTGGATCTTTCTCTACTTTCTACTTGATATAGTTCACTTTTTCAGCCAGAGTCGGGGCAGCCCTGTGTTTGGAGCCTCAAGGGCAACTTTCCTGGCAAGTTGCCCCTGCCCCATCAACCAGATTTGGCCTTGTTTCTGCAGGGGTCTGGCCTTCACTTTTCTCTGTGCTGGTCTACTGCCTCTTTCCAGTACAGAGAGCTGTTCCTCTCCTCTCAGCCACTGGATAAGGCTTGGCCCTGGGCATAGGGTGCCTGCCCTCCCCAGCCCTAAAGGCTTTTGCTTCCTATAGAAGAAAGGTTGGTCAGCAAGGTGGGTGGCTTCTTTTGCAGTCTTCCTGGGAATCCTTCGGGGTTTCCTAGGGGTTATATTCCTGGCTGGCTACACTTATTAAGCTGTTTTTTTCCCCCCTGGTTTTATGGCCTCCTTCTGTCCCTTTCTCCTTGGAAGGGCTTGTTGCCCCTTGTTGTAAAATTTGTCTGGTAGCCAGGTCACTTCTGTTCTTGGTTGGCCCCAAGTTAGATTTTATGAACTATGGTTCTGTCTCATTAGGGTGGGAGCTCTAAGAGCACTGTTCTCTTGCAGCTTTCTGACCCCCTACGGAAAGTGGGACTGAATTGTTCTTTTCTAGATACACATTGTGTGATTGCTGGTGGTCAGTGGTGATTTTTCCCCTGCCTCCCAGTTTCACATTGTGTATTTCCCCAGATTCACCTGTAGCCACCCTTCTGTACATTCTCCTGCCTGGATACCATTTCCGACGTTCAGCAGGTGTCTGGGCATGAGGCCTTTTCTGTGGCTCAAGTGCAGTGCTGTCTTCTGCTACCTTAGTTCTCTGACAGCCACATATGTCTCTAAGTGTGACTTCTGGTTGAGCTTTTTCAGTGAATAAAGTTAGTTTTGTTAAGTTATATTCTTAGGAGATGTTATAGTTATTTGTAAAAAGTTATTTTCAATTCCTGTTTTATCTGCAGATGTTTTTTCTTTTTTCTTTTTTTTTAATCTTTATTTAGAGTCATCCCTGCACCCCCAAGAAGCAACTTTTTCTTTTATATTTTAAAATTATATTTTAAGTACTGGGGATTGGATTCAGGCTGCTCTACATGAAGCTACATCCCCATCCCTTTTTATTTTTTATTTTAAGACAGGGTCTTGCTAGGTGGCCCAGGCTGTCCACAGCCTCAACACAGGAATGTGTTTGCCACTGTGCCTAGAACAACTTTTTATATTAAAAATATTATTTCTTTATTTCATTAATTATTACTATTTTATATACAATATATATGTATATATATGTGCAGTTGGTTAATTAATGCTATGGTAGACATCATAGAAAAATTTTAGAGGCATGAAGGAGAAGTAGAGCAAAGTAAATTTCCTCCAGCATCTGCGTCTTCATCTTCTTTACCTCCAGAGGGCTCTGCTCCTGACAGGTGATTGTGTCTTCCTCCAGAATGTTTTCGTGGCAGGTGGTAATTGCAAACACCACAGTGTCTTGAGTTACAGAGGGCTCTCAGTGACTCAAGGATGTGTTCCCTCATTTCTCGTTGCTCCCGAGGAAGGAGTTCCAGTGCTATAGCCAAGGAGGTACACACAGAAGCTGGATGCTGTCTGTTCTCTAGGTCTTTTCTGAGCATTACCTAACAGTGATCTATAGAGCCTGAGCCTGGGCATTTACTCTTAGGGGAGTTGCATTCCTCCCCTCTGGGGAGCCCACAGACACTAGGGGAAATTACTTGCTCTGTTCTCTTTGGTGCCCTATCACTCTTTTAAAATTTTAATCTCGTAGCCATAGCATTTCTGTTCTGACCTC